TGATAAGTTCTATAATCTTCTGCTTCCACAGAGGCCTGACATGGTTTGATCTATACAAAAACCATCCAATCTATACAAGATGGAGAAGGCAGTTTTCTAGGAAGTTACGTGCTATGAAAGGTAGATTTAGATTTAAATGAAAGCCATTATCTATGTAGGCATTTGTTCTCAACAATATTTATATATAAAAAAATCCCATTCTGTAATTTGAATACAGTGAATTACAACTAGATTATATAATTTGAGAGTTCTTGACCTTTTCAATATTTGGCCTTTAGTTTCAGAAGTTTCTGTTTTGTTAAGGAAAAAAAAGGTAGACATCAATATGAATCTAAATTCTAAACCATAAATTTTCAATTTGCACCGGTCTCAGCATCAGCAGCAGCAGCAGCCTGGCCATGGTGAGTGATTTCATCATATGCTCCAGTCTCCTCATTGAACGAGTACCATAGCCCAGAAGCAGCAGAGCAATAGAGTCCAGTAGATGGATCATAATAATACCCCAAACTGCTGCTATAATAGTACCCAGAAGACTCATCAAACAAATAATCATTCTCCAATTGCGATGGACCAACCCCATCCGAATTCGATGCTTGAGCAGTTGCATCTTCATCATCTTCACCAAACATATCATATTCATCTCCAGCAGATTCAGCACCATTATTTGTACCCAATGCCGCGCCTTGGCTTCTTGCCCTAGCTAAACTCTCGTACCCTTGAGCCTCACGCTCAAAAATCTCCCTCTTCTCATGATTCACATTGTACTCCCCATACTTGTCCATCAGGGTCACAGCATCCTCTGTCAACTGATCAAAAACCCGCTTTGTCTCAGCGGGCATCTTCTCCTTCTTGTTCCTTGCAGAAGAAGAAGCTCCCTTCAACCTCCTCAAAGCCTGCAAAACAGTCTCTCCATCCCCCAGCACATTAGCAATGCGCCGTTTAATCTTCCCAATATCATCACCATCCGACAAAGGTAAATCTTCACCATCACCATCTTCATCTTCTGTTTTCCGAGCATATAATTTTGTCTCACCAGCTTCAACACTATCAAGCCAAGCATCCTTGACCTGGTTCTTCTCATTGGGGGCATATTCAACAAAATTCCCATCCGCATCAAAATAACCCTCTTCCCTCTCCTTATCCAAGTTGAAAGGCTCTATTGGAATCCCACCCTCCATCAAGTTCTCAGAGTCCAATCCTTCGTATGAAACTTCCGCCTTGGACACATCTTCGCCAATCCCATCCTCCCCAAACCTGTCGTGATTTCTCTGGCTCCGTCGCTTCTCTCGCTCTTTGGCGGCAGAATGAGGGTCCGCCAACCCAATCCCAATCCCAATCTCGTCGTCGTCCTCAGCTCTGCGTATATTTACCGCCTCATCTCCCAGCCTCGCCTTCTTCCCCTTTGGAAACCTAAGCCTCTTTTCCGCTGTGGGTTTGCCGGAATCGGAATCGGAATCGGACTCTTCGGAGATCACCTTGCGTTTCAGATTTGATCGTGATGGCTGATTCGATTCCATTGAAGAAATTTGATCGTAATTGTTAGCTGATGGGGTAGGGCTCCCTTTTTATAAAGAGTTTTTTTCACCCGGTTTGAGCTACAGGACAAAAGCGATCTATCCTATTGTAAAGAGGAAACAGAATCCTAGTGTGAACTGGACACCCACCCAAATTTTTTCTCTTGTAGTTTATTTAAACACAAACGATATTGGAGAATTTAACCTTAAAAAAAGGATATTGGAGGTGGTGGAAATCATACTTAGAACTTCATATGCATGGATAAATGCTCTAGGGAATATTCGGGAATGGCGGACGGGTTGGCAGGAAGGGAAAGAAAAGGAGTAGGGCTTTGGGTGTTCAAGAGTAGAAGAAGTGAAACTTTGGGTAAAAACGAGGCGCGGGTGTCCAAAGAATATCCTTGGGTGTCATATCATTCTCCAAAGTCCAATTACACGTTATGCAAAACTGGGATTTCTAACTTGCTAGCCCAACATCTTCTTCTGCCATAACCCAAACCAGAAAACGCACCGTTTAGGGCCTGTCCGTCTTCCCCGTCAATATTGTCGAACAGCACATTTCCCAGGAGGTAGTGCTTTGCTTGCTAGTACCAGCAGCAACCTATCCAAAAAGCCAAACCATGGCTCTCATAAGCCAACACCTCACTCTTCCTCCACCATTTCCCTTCCTTCACAATCACTCTCCAAACTCTCCCTTCTCAAAGCCTTGCCTCTTTGTGTTCTCCAAAAACCTCAGACTTTTCTCTCTGCACGCAGCTTCCTCCGCCTCCACTCCCCCTCCCACTCCCACTTCTCACTCCTCAAACCCCATTTTCCTTCCCTTTCTCCGGGACGACGACGACGAAGAAGAAGAAGAACCAGAAGACCTGCAAGAACTTGAAGAAGAAGAAGAAGACGAGGAGGACCCAGATGATCCAATTCTCAGATTCTTCAAGTCTCGCAGTTCAACCCAGGACCCTCAACGTGAAGGCAAGCTCTCTCTTCAAAAGAACCGTCGCTCTTCTTGGCGTTTAGCTGACGATACCCAACTCGTAGACGAATCAGAAACTGACTCTGGCATCGAAGGAGTGCTTGAACAACAAAAGGAACAAGCCAGACAATTGAATTTTGATTCAAGGGCGTTGTCCGAGGAAATTGTAGAAGAAATTTTGCAAAAAGCAAGGACGCTGCCTCAAAACTTGACATTGGGAGAGGTATTGGGAGGTTTTGAAGGAAGGGTTGGTGAGAAAGAGTCTGTGAAAGTGTTGGAGTTGATGGGCAAGGAGGGCCTTTTAATGGGTTGCTTGTATTTCTATGAGTGGATGGGTTTGCAGGAAACTTCTCTAGTTACTCCTAGGGCGTGTTCAGTTTTGTTTCCTATGTTGGGGAGAGCTGGAATGGGCGATAAGTTGATGATTTTGTTTAGGAATTTACCAGCTAAGAATGAGTTCAGGGATGTTCATGTTTATAATGCTGCAATTTCTGGCTTAATGTGCTCTAAGAGGTATGATATGCTTGGTAATTTTTTTTAGTTTGCTCTATAGTTGTTTGTGGTCAATTTCTAGTGATATTAGGAATTGTAGGCTTACCAGTAAGTTTGTTCATAGGAAGAGTATGAGGATCAACAAAAATGATTGACATTAAGTCATAAGTTAACTAACATATAATATTTTCATGCAGAAAAGTATGCTGTATAAATTACATAATGAGTTACTGGCAGTTTGGATAATCAGCTTTCTGTTCTGTGCATGTTTCTGTATACTCGAGGCCAACTTGAATTATACTATCTTCTTAATATAGCTGGTTTAATTATTAGTTGAAAAAAAAAAAATAATAATAAAATTGGCAAAGCTATGGCTATTGGTGTGCAACTCGAATGGGCAATGATGTCAGATTATAACGCAACTTGCTAGAATTCATTGCTAATACCTGCCAAATTATTTCAGGTATGATGATGCTTGGGAGGTATATGAGGCAATGGAAGCAAATAATACCCTTCCGGATCATGTGACATGTTCAATTATGATTACTGTCATGAGAAAAGTTGGCCGTAGTGCAAAAGATTCATGGCAGTTCTTTGAGAGAATGAATAGGAAAGGCGTCAAATGGAGTCAAGAAGTTTTGGGTGCTCTTATAAAATCATTCTGTGATGAGGGGCTGAAAAGTGAAGCCCTTATCATTCAAGTAGAAATGGAAAAGAAAGGGGTCTCATCAAATGCCATTGTTTATAATACTTTAATGGATGCTTTTTGTAATTCCAACCAAGTTGAAGAAGCTGAAGGTCTCTTTGCTGAGATGAAATCAAGAGGCATCAAACCAACAGCAGCCACCTTCAATATTTTAATGAGTGCATACAGCAGAAAAATGCAGACTGAGATTGTTGAGAAGCTGCTGGTAGAAATGCAGGATATGGGATTGGAGCCAAATGTCAAATCCTATACATGTCTTATCAGTGCGTATGGGAGGCAGAAGAAGATGAGTGACATGGCTGCAAATGCATTTTTGAGGATGAAGAAAGCTGGTATAAGTCCAACTTCACATTCTTATACAGCTCTCATTCATGCATTTTCAGTCAGTGGCTGGCATGAGAAAGCTTACATTGCATTTGAGAACATGCAAAAAGAAGGCTTAAAGCCCTCCATAGAAACGTATACTGCTTTACTGGATGCATTTAGGCGTGCTGGGGACGCACAGATGTTGATGAAAATATGGAAATTGATGATTAAAGAGAAGATTGAAGGGACTAAGGTGACATTCAACACTCTTCTTGATGGATTTGCTAAACAAGGTCACTATACTGAAGCAAGAGATGTGATTTCTGAATTTGGGAATATAGGTTTGCAGCCAACAGTGATGACATATAATATGCTGATGAATGCATATGCACGGGGAGGGCAACACTCAAAGTTGCCGCAGCTGTTGAAAGAGATGGCAGCTCTCAATTTAAAACCTGATTCTGTAACATACTCGACCATGATCTATGCCTATGTCCGTGTTCGGGATTTCAAAAGAGCATTTTTCTACCATAAGCAAATGGTAAAAAGTGGAGAAATGCCAGATGCCAGGTCTTATGAGAAGCTTAGGGCAATTTTGGATGTAAAAGCTGCAAGAAAGAACAAGAAGGACAGGAGTGCTATACTCGGTATAATTAATAGCAAAATGGGGTTGTTGAAAATTAAGAAGAAGGGAAAGAAAGATGAGCTCTGGAAGAACAAGAAAAAGCGCTATGTGAGAACTGATAACTCACAGTGATAATCCTATTAATGGAGTTGTGGCACGAAGACCTATCTTCAGCTCATCATATTCTGGCATTCCCTTCAAACTTTCAGAAAGTTTATCAGATAGTTGTTTCGTCTCAGGGCACACTGTCTAAGTTGGGAACTTGGAGAAAAGCAAAACCACACCAAAGTTTTATGGTGAAACACTCTACAAGATTTGTATGGCCCTTCGCTAAACAAGAGGATTGGCTGCAGCTGATGTATGCCAGTTTCCATTAATGTGACTAGGTAAGTATATCTGTTCATATCTCAATATCAATATAAGGTGAAACATTCTTATGCAAATCCCCTGTACAATAACAATTGATCTGTAATACAAAGTTTTACTTGAAGCATTCATGGTTTTTCTCTTCTTCTATTTATTTGCAGTCTAATCTTATTCGGCGCAGATAAAATATGAGCATCTTGCTTTTGTATGTTTTTGAATTTTGGAGGAAATTTCATTTCAACCCGGCTTTTCTGCTGTGGCTAGGAGGAGTAAGCTGACTGACAACCATTGAAGATTAGTAGGCTTACAGATTCTTGTTCTTCCTGGTGCACAAGTCCCAGGCAAATTTCTCTTCCCAGGTCCACTTCTTTTCTAGGGTTGGCCGTGGCCTCTTCAGTCTTCAAGAGGACAATAGCAACTCCATATACAGTCGTAATTATTCCAAAATCCAGTTGCAACATCTTTTTCATATGCTTTGATGCGAAGAATCATCATGTTATCTGGCTTTCTTTGAAAATCTAAGAATGAAAGGAACCGCATGAGAATCAGGAAGCCAAAATCTCTTGAGAATTCAACCTTGTCTGTTTGGTGAACTAGAACTCCATTCACATCAAGTTGATGAAGGCTCAACTTAACGGTTTTTATATATAGTTCTTTTTTTTGGTCTGAGTTTTTATATATAGTTCTGGTTTACATTTCAAGTTACTTTACTTGTTCTCTTAACTTTCGGTTCAATGAAAGTTCAAATTTCCATTTCTTTACGTCATTTTGCAAAAATTCTTGGGTAGGGCGGTCACACTGCAGTGAAAGTAATATCTTTACTTGTTGACTTGTTAATCTCTTGTTCAAATACTTTTTGACTTGCTCGCCGACCAAAAAAATTACTTGTTGAGTTTCCCAAATTTACTTGAGATAACGGCCATGGTAATTCTTCTATCATCCGTCACTAATGTCAGCATTAAAAACTTTACCATCCCAAATTTTCCGCCCTAAATTGACTCCTAATTACGAACTAATGTCAAGTATTTACAACACGAAACATAATTAAATGAATGCTATCTGTGTCCTCTTTTAATAAATATTTGGGAACAAAGATAACCTGATTAGGACAAAACGACAAAATTAGGGGTAGTTGGGTAAATTCGGTGCGACTGCCAAACGAAAACCCTAACCCGGTTAGAGCGGAGCCGGGTGGAAGCACAAGACTGGGGCACAACAGTGGCGCTGCCTTAAGCGCGTAGGCCACGTGGACGGTCCTATCGCTAATACACCAAAAACCCCCCAATGATGACGTGTAAAATCGTAACCGTAGCCTCCCTATAAAACCCTCCGCTTCCTCACACTTTCGTTCTCATCCATTTCCTCTCTCTCTCTCTCTCTCTCTCTCTCTCTCTTCTCTAACCGATTGAGACAGACACTGTCACTCGCAGATTCGGATCCACCGGTTTATGATAAACCCGGACCTTCTCTGATCCATTAGATCGACGTCGTTTAGTTTCGAGGCTCGGAGTTGCTGCTCGTCGTTTCTTTGATTTCAGTGGACTTCGGAGTTCCGACTTGGATATCCGATTGCTTCTCCTGTTCTTGGCTCGAGATCCGGGCCAAGCACAGAAGAAACGGGCTCTGGCTTTGGATTCGGTACTCTTAGACTTCACACAGACAGGTACTCTGGCTTTCTTTAAATTTTGTTTTACGCTTATGCGTCGTTTGCTTGGTTGCTGAGAAAGCTGGGAAAAGAAATTAAAATGATGCATTTGGTGTTTGGTTTTCTCATTGTTTGGGACTCTGGAAAATGATATTTTAGTTTCACTGTGACTTAAGCTACATTTTGGTTGCTTCTTGTTTTTCTTTTTCGCACATTATTTATGGTTGTGTATTTCTTTAGTTTCCTTCAGTTTCTAAGTAGCCAAACAGCTTATAGTTGTATTGATTTTGTAGTTAATACTCATGGCGGAGCCACTCCTAAAAACTGAAGATGAAGTGGAGAGCAGTGGCGGAGCCACTCCTAGACCTGGAGTGGCCCTGGCCCCCCCATATTTTTATCCCTTCTCTATTATATTATATATAATATATAGAATTTGTAATAAATAATTTATTAATTAAGTTAAAATTTTCTCTAAAACAAATTAGACATGACTCAATTAGAAATATTTAGTTCTAAATATATAATTATTGAATACTTAGGTGTGTTGTATACTTGTATTTTTAACTTCGGCCCCCCCAATTTTACAGTTCTAGCTCCGCCCCTCTTACCTCTACGTGGTTAATGGTTAATAAGCACTTAAGCCGTTGGATTAGTTAATATTGCTCAAGTAAAATTTGCCTATACGCGTTTTCGTTTTCATTGAGTTAATAATAGAGTTACAGTAAAGACTAAAGTGGTTAATATTTCTAATAGAAAGTAATTTTCAAGATCTAACACTCTATTATTTATTCGATATTAATATTGATATTGGAATTTTCCAGTGTAAATGGCCTCAAAGGAGGGATTCCTGACGAACGAGCAGAGGGAAACGTTAAAAATTGCCAGCCAAAATGTGGAGATTTTGTCATCATCCCCGAAATCTCCGACGTCTTTTCTTTCGGAACATCATGTAAAAGCCCCTGCTGGTGGGAAGGCACCAACAGCTGGGATAGCTGTGCGGCATGTTCGCCGGTCGCACTCAGGGAAGTTTGTGCGAGTGAAGAAGGGTAAGTTCCCTTTCGGCTCTTTCTTGACTGGGGTTGATCTTATGTTAGCTTATGAAGACTTGAAGAGATTGGGATTGCATTAGCTGACTTATGGTTGATCATTGATTTCTATGTAACCATGTTTATGGTTTTATTAGTATCTGTATTTTCCTGTGACGCTCTTAAGAAATTTTGTTGCATATATACCTATGTTTCTTATTTCAATCAATTGTGCTTTTAACTTTTTTTAAGTAAATGATCGGTACTCTAGTTTTACAGGGCCTGGGGCTCTAGTATTCATTATTATAGTTCGTTTTATAGTAGTTGGAGTCATGTATCGTTTTGGTGTTTGTGAAATTCAACTGCAGTGTGCACAATTATGCATCTCATGCATGAATGGATCTTTCTTCCTTCGAAGCTGCGTGTTTAGCTTAATTTATCTGTTGTTAGGGTCTGAATGAACTCTGCAAGATTCATGACTGATCTATTCAAACCCGGGTAGTGTTTATAATTTACATTCGGGTTAATGGTAGAGTCATTTTCTTTCTTGCTTTTCAAGTTTAGATTTGATGTTGTTTTGTGGTGCTGAATTGATGATAATGTCCCTGATTGTTGAAATTACCTATTCCTGGAAGGGATTGATTTCTCTTTTCTTTGTCTAATGGCAACAGAGGGAGGCGGTGGTAAGGGCACATGGGGAAAACTGCTTGACGCTGATAGTGAATCCCCTATTGATCGCAATGACCCTAATTATGATAGTGGCGAGGTAAAATATTTTTAAAGTTTAGTTTCAATCCCTTATTGATTGCAATGACCCTAACTGTGCTCTGATTAGGTGGATGGAATATTCTGATTTTTAATTTAAAGACACTGGTTTCAGCA